ATGGGGCTTGTGTGGGCCGGGGGACCTGGGGGCGGCGGCCTGTGCAGGGCGGGGTACCAAGGGGATCTCTGTGGGCGGGGGAGCCTCGGGACAGGGCGCCGTCTGGGTCAGGAACCCCTGGCCTGAGGTGGATCCGCGCGGGCGGGGGGCCCAGCGTGGGCTCCGTGCATCCCTTGCTGGCTTCAGCCGACCCAGAGGCACGAGCTCACCTCCCCCCCCTCTCGTCCCCAGGGTCTCCCGGTTCTCCGAAGCCTCTCGAGCCGCCCTGCCCTCGCCATGCTGCGCCTGCTGCCATGGGTCCGTGCTCTGACCCGAGAGAGCGTGCGGCCCGGAGTCCTGCAGGGCCTGGCTGCTGGTGACAGGAGCGGGGCCGGGATGTATCCCACCTGCTACTGTGCAGGCAAAGCTAAGCAGCGGGCGGTGCTGCTCCCCCTGGACCCCTATGGCCATGGGCTGCTGCACACCTTTCCCCCGGACGCCTACAGGACTCGAGGCCATGGCAAGAGGAAGAGCTGGAACTTCATCCACGAGAAGATGAGTTATGACACCTTCTTCACAATGAAGCGTCTGATAGAGCGCTCGCGCAGCGTGGGGGAAGTGCTGCGGTGGGTCACGCAGAACCCCAGCAAGGTGTCCGCCAGCCACTACCCCATCGCCCTGCACAAGCTGGGCCAGCTCTTGCAGCAGCAGCAGCAGGGCCAGGCCACAGTGAACGGGGAGAGCCGTGGGCCCAGCCAGATGCTGGAGCAGCCAGAGTTTCAGACTCTCTGTCAGGCCATCATCAGCGGCTGCTCCAAGTTCGATAACTTCAGCATTGTCAACTGCCTGTACGCTGCTGCCGCGCTGGGTGAGTGTCCCGGGCTGCCAGCATCTGCCTGCGTGGGGTCACCGGCAGAGGACAGGGGAGGCAGGGCAGTGGGACACGGGTTGGTGCCTGGGTTTGTGAGGTGAAAGGAGAGCCTGCCAGTCTGTCTGCCACGGAATGAGGAAGGACATACCGGAACAGGAGCCGGGGTCTGGGTTTGTGTGTGGATTTACGTGTGATGGTGGCTTTGTGGCAGATGGAGTTGTGCCCTTTGAAGGAGGGAGGCTCTGCTTGGGAAATGCAGCCAGAAGGGAGCCAGGTGGAGTGACTGCGCCAGGGGGGCTCAGCTGGCTGCAGCACCCGGCACGTCAGCCCAAAGGACAGGCAAAGCGGTGGCCACCGCTGCCTGGCAGGATCGGGATAAACCATTCCTTGAGTTTTGTTCCAGTCCCTGAAAATCAGCAAACATCTGAGCATCAAAGTGTGGGATGTGAGATCTTGGCTAAACCGTTTGCAAGCCGTGAGCTCTCTGTCGTCAGGAGTTTAATGTTCAGGAGAAAAGGTTCAAGCAGGTTTGGGTTCCTGCGCAGCAGCCTCTGGGCCGGCCAGCAGGCCGTGTCCTGGGGGCTTCCCCCCGAGGGCCCTGCGGATTCTCCCGCCCACGAGGACGGGGATCAGGTCCGGCGGTTGCCTGCAGCAGCCGGTGCCTGCCCTCCCCAGCGGTTCCTGCCAGCCCTGCGCTCCTCTGTCCCACGTGCACTGTTCCTGCTCTTGTGTTTACTTTTTTTTTTTCCCACCGCAGCTGCATGCTGAGCTGAGGCCTCGGCTGAGCCGCGGACGGAGACGCCCGGTCCCTGCCGTAGGTTGATGCAGTAACTCTAGATCCCGCTGAAGGGGGGAGGGAGGACGTTGCTGCTCTTCCCCCCTCCGACTCATGGCGCCTTGTGTTTGTTGACACTGAACTCTTGGCTGCCAGGCGCCTCTCCCCTCAGCTGGGCTCCCCCTGGCCTGCTCTGGTTTTGACCCACACTTTGTTCTCCGTCAGTCGCCCTTCCCTGCTCCCCACGCTTACCCGCTCATTAATAAAAATGCTAACCCACCTTTCTGAGGCCTTTTTAAGGAACAAAGCAACTGCTCAGACCAATTCTTCACTTTCTGCCTTCTGACTGATTTCTGATTAACAATAAAACGCAGCAACCTACCCCATGCTGCCTTCGTTGCTTTAAAGCCCTTTTGAAAATTGAAGTCTTGCCAGCTGGCTCAGGAGACCAGTGGGCTACCAGGGCCTCATACGGCGCATAATGCTTCATGCGTCTCCTGAAAATATCTCTCCTGACACGCGAAGGATGGCCTTTGCCTCTTCTCGTACCCGCGCTGGGTGCCTGGCCCCTTGTCTTTCCACGGTTGAATAATACCTCCAGAGTTGAAGGACAGTATTTCCCTTGGGAGCTGAGTTTGAACAGCTAAAGCTAAACTAGAAAACGGGAAAAGGTTAGAAATGTGGACGGATTAATTCCTGTCATACACGGACAGTTTTTATTTTGGTGGTGCGCTGATGTCTTACTTGTTTTCCAGCCAAAACTTCTTTTTTAAAGTAGTTTTTGAGATGTATTATTCATCTTTAAGATGTTTGAGACTTAAAAAATAAACCTTGCTTTTGCAGACAAACTAAAGGACTTCCATTTTGGTGGGGGGGGTGGGAATAATCCCACGGCTCCCAATGACTTTTTCTGTGGTGCAGATGCACTGATGGCCTGTCCAGGCTTTGCCAAACGGCTCCTCATCTCTGGTTTGATCACTGGCTCGGCAAACCTGTCCTGCTCTGGCTGTGGTCTCGTGCCTGAGCTTAAGAGCACGGTTGTGCCTAGTGAAGACAAGAGGTGGGGTCCGGGCGTCCCTAACCCCCCTTCCCTGTTGCAGGCCTGCCTGGGGAATCGCCACTGGTGCGAGTGCTGGAGGACGAATCCCGCAGCCGCCTGGGCCGCTTCAACCAGAAGGATGTCTCCATGGTCTTCAGCAGCGTGATGAGGCTCCACCCGTCCAGCCCTCACCCCCTGGTCGAGTCCTGCCTCAGCAGCTTGGAGCGGCACCTGGAGAAGGAGCGCCATCCCCAGACCCTCTTCCTGCTCCTTTCCTACTACCGGCTGCGGGCGCAGGCGCTGCAGGGACACCCGGCCTCTGACCAGCAGCTGATCAACAACCGCAAGATCCTGCGCCTCGTCAGGCACACGCTGGGGCAAGTGAGTGCCATGCGGGAGCACGAGCTGGCCCTCTTGGACGAGATGCTGGCTCTGTGCGCCCAGGAGGCGAACAACAAGGCCCTGGAGGCCATCTTCAGCTCTCAGCTCTTCTACGAGAACCGCCAAGAGCGATTCATCCGCAGTATGGCAGGTGAGGGCAGGGTCTGCCCAGGCAGGGTCCCAGCCTTGCCCACTGTGAGCCTCTCCCCCGGTCCGGGGTGCGCTGGGCTCTGCCCGTGCGCTTGGCAGCCGTGGAGCCTCCTTTCTTGGCCCCGGAGGACATCTGGGTTTGTCACAGCACCAGCTGGGGCCTGGATGAGCACCAGGGCCTGCAGCAGTGGGGCTGGAGCAGGAGATGCTCTGCTTTATGGCCACTTCCCAGCTTAGCCCTTCCAGGGGCTGTGAACCCGCCTTACCTCAAGGTTGGTTTTGGTGGGGTTTCTGCAGAAGGGCCCCCATTTTGTCCACGTTCCAGCTGCTCCTTCTGTGTGCGCGGGACAGGAATCTGCCCCAGCCTCTCACAAGCCCCATAACTCGATGGTTTTTTGGAAGCCTTCTGGGTTTCAGGAGAGATGGCTCTGCTGCCCAGGTCTCGTTACTCCCACCTGCCTGCACTGCCTTTCCTGCCCAGGCTGTAGTGGCTTCTGGAGAGCTGCAGTTCGGACAGAGCCAGGCCCCTCTGACGGATACCCCGCTGTGGTTTGCTCTGTGCAGAGTGGCTCCCCAGGAAGGCAGAGAACCTTACCCCCTACACCATGGCCCTCATCGCCAAGTACGTGGCCCGGCACCGGCTGCGTGAGCCACGGCTGCTTGATACCATTGCAAACTTTCTCCTGAAGCGTGGGGAGCAGCTCGACAGCAAGGTGAGTGTCCTCCCCAGGCTGCAGGGGGCACCTGGGGCTGGCTCTGGGGCTGCCCCAGTGCTGGGGGAAACCACATCCCTTCTCTGCCATCAGGCTGGGGACCGATCAGGATGTGCCCTGATCCCTGCGGGCTGAGACAGCCTGTTTCTGCCCGCCTCTGGGCAGGCCTGGGCCTGACCTGTCCCTCGTCCGGCTGCCTGGCCCGGCTCAGCTCCCTCTCCTCCTGCCTGCAGGTGATCCAGAAGCTGGTGTTTCCCTTCAGCCGCATGAATTACCGCCCATCCAACCATAGCGAGCTCTTCCCCAAGCTGGAGGCCATCCTGGAGCAGAAAGCCGGCAGCTCACCCCTGGCGACCGTCAACATCCTCATGTCCATGTTTCAGCTTAGCCACTTCCCCCAGACTGTCCTGCACCAAGTCTTCTCCCCAGCCTTCATCACCAATGTTATGAGTACGTTGGGCCTTTTCCAGGGTAAACCCAGCTGGTAAAGCCTGGGGCTGGGGTGGAGGTGGATTTTGAAAGCATTGGGCAGGACAGACTCCCCCTGGGAGCGCAGGACCGCCTTGCTGGTGGTCAGCCCCCCCCCAGGAGCGCGGCTGGGCGGGGAGG